CCCCCCCCCCGAACCTCCCCATGCCCTCTCACGGTTTTCCTAAGTTTCATCACAACCAATGAGCTGATAAGTTGTGGTAAAACCTATTTTTTTCAAGACATATTTAAATAACCTTGACAATTGCATTCTCTTTTAGCTCCTATGTCCTCTACCCCTCCAACTCTTACTCGCCTGTAAAGGACCCTGCCTTGCCTTCATCTAGACTCTGTAGTATTAGTCAAAAGTGTTAGAAGTCCAAGCAATTGGACACTGTAGGTAGCTATTGGACACTGTAGATCCTTCAAGTTAAATCAATCTAACTCCTTATAGAACCTGTAGCTTATGCTATTAGAGACATTCTTTAGGGAAAAGAACATAAAATTGGATGTGCAAAATTAAGTACTAAGACAAAAGTATTATAAGTAAATAATAATTATAAATAAGTCACCTGATAAATATCATTATCTTGCCGTACTGCTAGGCCACCAGAACCACACAGGGGACAAAGAGGCCTCACACAGTCAATTTGAGGGTAGTGAGAGAGCTTGCACCTTTGCCCTTGTTGATTTTGATGGTGAATATATACCTTCGCGAGCAGTACAAACTACCTGAGACTGTCTACCATTGGCATTGCAGTAGAAACAGAAAATCTCTTGTCTAATGCCCAGTTCTGATGGCCCGCAGGTCTTTCCTTCCATAAGTCTAATACCGCTAGCACAGCTGCTCACCCTGGGGTCAGACCTGCAATTGGTAAGTACTCTTTTACATCGCCTCACTCCCTTTTGTTTAACATAGTCTATCCACAAGTGCACATGCACACACACTCACTCAGCGCGGGCTGCAGGAGGAGCCAGAGGGTGGTCAGAGAGTCGGATGCGGCCCCATTCCTGGAAAGTTTTCCTCACAGGTCTCTATAGCACTGACCTCGTTCTCATCTGCAATCCCCGGATCCTGATACCTCTCCTCTAGGATCCTGCCCCAGTTTCTGCACCAGACCCTCCATAATGTCCCTATTATATCCGCATTCCACATAAACACTCCGATTGGTACTGTGACCCTCTGGAGTAACCATAAGACAGTAAGATCTTCACTCTGCTCATAGACATCCGTAAAGAGCCATCTGTCTGGGGAGGAAAAATGTTTCCCTCATGGTTCTTCCCAGTGTTCAGACTTAAAGATACTATTAACCCATGCTCCAGACTCATTATATTGTGTCTCACAATTTTGTCTGGATATACCTGTGAAACAATTCATTTATTAAGGGAAAAAAAGCAATCAGAAAATGTCCAATAACCATTACTGTAGACAGAAGGGGGTAAATTACCTGAATTATCTCAGATATGCCAAAGAAAAAATTTAACTCCCAAGGAAACAGAGACAAGAAGGCTCAGTGTGTAAAAGCACTTGTCAGAAAGGCCTGACAACCCGAGTTCGAAGCCCAGACACCACATAAGGGAGAAGGAAAAAACACTACAAAGCTGTCCCCTGACCTCCGCAAACACATGCCGTGGCATGAGCACATACACACTAAATCTTTCGCTTTTCAGTTTAATGTAGGGGTTTGAGAGATGGCTCAGTGGTAAGAGCACTTGTAGAGGACTTGCAGCCGTGTGGAAGTCTCTGCACTGCTTTTGGAGAAGACCTGAGACATGCTTCCCTGCACCCCCGTAGATCAGCTCACAGCTTCCTATAACTCCAGCTCCAGGAGGCTCATTGCCCTCTTCTGTCCTACTTAGGCACCCGCACTTACACACACACACACACACACACACACACACACACACACACACACACACACACACTTTCTGACACATGCATGCACATAATTAAAAATAAAAACAAATCTTTGCAATATCTTTGTAATGGACCTTGTTGTGCTAAGAAACTAAAGAAATACCTAAATTTCATCTCTGTGATTAATTACACACACAATAAAATACTACAAACTTACATAAGAAATCCTTCCTAGAAAAGTATTTTTTACCTTTAGTAAACATATGTTGAGGTCCTAGATGTTCAAACTGAAAGAAATATAATGAAAATCTTCTTTGATGCCCCACAGCTCAACCCCGCCACTGGACCGGCACATGGCACACAGACGTTTCCTTTTCCCCTAGGGCCGCTGAACAGACCACAGCAGCTGCAGCCCCAGGTAAACTGAGGGAAGGGCTTCCTGAACTCTGAGGGCATTTTCTCTCAGTTGACGCTTCAGGGATCCAAGAGCCTTTTTCAAGGTTCTTAGAAACTATATGCAGATGATTTGCAGGTGTTTGTTCTATGAATAGAAAATGGCATGAATTGTTTCCACACCTTAATACACTCACAATGTTATTTTTAATAACTGCATAATATGTTGCTATATACATAATTCCTTATTGTAGAAAATCAGGGGTTATTTTTCAAATTTTTGGCTTCTAAACTCATGTTATTATAACATCCTATAACTAGATCTATTGCTATATTGAGGAATGTTTCTTTGGAACTCACTCTTGGACTTTTTGGAAACAAAGACACATACATGTTTTGATAATAAAAATCTTGAGAATAGATTTTGCCCTCTGAAAAGAACCAAAGAAACAGGCAAATGAAATGTGAGCTTCCTTAATACATGATGCTGGTGTATTCATATACAGACTGTCCAGCTTCAGTCTCAGTTGCTACCCCACCCTAGCATGAAAATATGAAGGAACAGAGTATGGGGGCTGGGAGGCTACCGTGGGGCACTGGAGAAATGGGGAGGAGAACCACTTGGTCAAATGTCATGCTGGCATCTATTAGATCACATAGGATGGTGATTTAAAAATTAAAGTACTTTAAAAGAAACAGATTCAACACAGCATCTTATTCTCCAGAGTCAGAAGCATTCCTGGGCATGTTATAAAAGGCTTAGAAGATCTGACATTGCACATTCCTCAGCATGCAGGAATGTTAAGTCACAGAGTCCTCATTTTCTCTGGGGATGCTTCAGTGCCTCTGGGCCAGGCTATCACAAAGGGTCCCCTTGGCTTTCCCCCAGGCCTAGCTTCAGTCCCTCCAACCTGCCTCTTCCTATGTAGAGTGGATAACTTTTTGGAAGTACTTTGTAGGCATTTATTATACATAATAATGGGCCCCATTATGACAATCTTATACATGCGAATGAAGTATTTTGATCATAATTACTTCCCATTACTTTATATGTCCCTCTCCTCACCCTCCTACCACTGACTGGCCTTCCTCTTTCCATCTCGTCTCCTTCTTCTTTCACATTTTTGCGCGTGTGTGTGCGCGCATGTGAACCACTGAGCTTAATTAGGTTAATGTACAGAAGCATAGGTGAGGTAGCAGTTATAGGAACGTGGGCGACTTACCCGTGGCCATCTGACTGAAGAAGATGTCTCTCTGCCACCCCAGCAAATATCCTCAGGGAGGGGCAGGGTCTCACGGATCCCTCCCCTGTCCATGACAGAGTGCTGGCAGGTCCAATCTTAGGCAGGGCTTGTGCAGGTACTCACAGCTGCTGAGAGTTCAAGAGTGTGACAGCCCTGTCCTGCCCACATGACAGCACTGCACAGAGCCCTGTCCCTTCTATCTGTCACATGTCTATGCTTTCCTCTGAGCCTTCGAAAGGGTGGGACACAAGTCCCACTTAGGGCTAAGCAGTCCGTGGTCTTTTTATTCTCAGCACTTTGATCAGTTATAAGTCCCTGCCATAACTATTGCCAAGAAGGAGGAGGAGGAGGAGGAGGAGAAGTAGTTGTTGTTTCTCTGGCCAAAGTTGATGACAGAAGTACTAAGTTATGGGCATAAGCATAAACGTTTGGAAAGCAATATAAAATCGGATCACTGTCTATGATACATACCTATGTCTGTCACCTGTTCTACCAAAGGCCAAACTTGGGGGAAAAAAGGATTACAGAACCACAAACCTAGTCAAATCGCAACTCTCTGTGAACACAGCCTGCATGGTGTGGGCAAGTAATTTTAACCTGGTGGGACTCACTTTCCTCAAAGTTAAAACAGGCCTTAAAGGAGAGGCTTCCTCTAACTATTTACAAAGATTAGAAGGATAAGTGTGTAGAACAGTTCGTGCCGCACAGCGAATACATGCGTGTTCACGGTCATTACTTCAGACAGCTTCCAATCAGTAACTAGGACGACGTATTTTCTTCAGTTACACTGCTGAACAATTAATTAAGTTATGCCTCCTTATCATTTTCATTTATGCACCCATGCGGTTCCCCTTCTTATTTATCAATTTTTCTTCCTTCCGCTCCACTTTTCCATTTGAAGAGAGATTTTAATTTGGTTTTCTTCAAAATCCTATCCCTGCGTCGCCCACTCTGACAGTTGGTTGGGTTTGTTCCATGCTGCTTTAGCTGCTGTTATATTTGCTGTCAGGAGACAAGAAGCTGACTATCATAGGGAGATGTGTGCTTGTCACTGTTGGTGTGGCAGGCACTGCTGTGACAACTGAACAGGGGAATGGTAAGATGGGGAGTCCGTCACATTCAAATCTCTCAGGGTGGTACATACCAAGTTAAAAGTCAATTTTATGATTTTTCCTGACACTATGGGTGTTCTATGGAAATAAAAATAAAATTTTAAGACTTCTTTTTTATAACACTTAGGCTTTTTTTTTTTTGAGTAGTAGAGAATACAACAGCATGCCAACTCATCCATTTCAGCCAGCAACTCATAACCCAGTTAGCAGTTAGTTACTTCTCACCCACCTTAAAGATCTCGACTGTGGCTGTGGGTTACTGTAACCCATAGTCCACCTCCCAGTACTCTACTTTAACAGTGATTTTTTTTTGTCCCTTTATTTTTCAGATGTTACCCATCATTGTGGCACCACTTGGAGCTCAGGTAAGACTATTGTTAAACAGACTGTGTTTTTTCAATTGCACGTGTGCAGAACGCTTTTGTCTCTTGTCTCAATTCACCAATCAGGCACCAAGATTCTAATTCACTTTACACTGTGTGAGCACTGATAACAGCAAGATATAACACTTACCTAGCCCTGGCTGGCTGGCTGGCAGGTGCAGTTCTGAGTTCTTCACGGTACCATTTCAGTCAACAGTGACATAATCTCTTGTAGATATCATCATTATATCCACTCTGAAAATGAGTGATATATGGTTACTCCTCTAGCCACACCCTCAGTAAATGAAGCAACCAGTCATCTCCTAAACTTCACTGTCAAGAAAGAAATAACTTAATGGGATTAATATGATGACCCATGATGCAGGGGATTTATTTTTTAAATTTAAATCTATTTTAGCCATGTGTGTTTATGCCAAAATCCTCAACCCCTTTTTTCTTTCTTCTCTTCCTATTTGTTTTTACAAAAGTTACTCTTGAGCTCACTGTTAAAGACCAAAATCAGTACCAGCATAAGCATCGGGTGGCAACTCCATTCCTAAAATCAGAGGCACATATTAGTATGAAATCACTATCAATCCTTTGTATTTAAACAGGCATCTGTGTAGCTTATTAGGATGTCCTTGAATTTGCGATCCTCTTGCCTCAACCTCTGTGTACTGGGATTATAGGAGTGTGTCTCTCACTACACCCACCCACTCCTACTGTCTTTTTATCCACATCTTGAGACTACATCTCAAGAAAAGAAATTCTGAAGTGCAGCAAAGATTTAGATACCACCTACTCCTTAAGTAATATTTGTGGTGTATAAAAATATAGCCAAACCTTAAATTTAAGACCAAACCAAAAAAGAAAAATTCAATGAACTACAACATAACCATAAATAAATACTACATAGCCATTTAAAATTACATTTATCACATTTTGGCAGTAACACAGCTAAGGGGTTGTTATGAAATACTAAGAGAAAAAGAAAGGTGAAAAAACTATATAAATGACAGTTTCTATTACATGAAGAATAAATTTGTAGAAAGCACCTGGAAAGACCATTATATAAATCATAGGATTATTTTTTTTCTGTTGCTTTCTGTATTCTCCAGGCTCTTCTTTCCAATGTATATCTATCACCTAATAATATATATGTATATGTTTATGTATAGTTTTCAAAGGTAAATCACATTATTCAATAATAAAAATGAGCAGTCTAAATCACCTGCTGACATGAGTTTTGTGATGCAGATATCAGACCATTTAATTTCTTTATAATACTTAAAAGTATTTGAAGTTTTTGAGTTATATACGCTGCATTGAATATACTGAAACTTCTCTAATTGCTTCTGTTTGTCATTTTGCTTTTAGGGTGCTCTCCTAAGCTCAGAGGAACTGGTAAAAAGAAAATCTTTTAAGTCACTACCAATTAAATCCCTCTCACTTCTCCCAGTGTCCTCTGCCCTTCCGGTTCTTTGACTCACATCCCCTCCCCAACATTCCCCTATAACGAGCTGTGCGTTTTCATAGCTCCTTGAGTTTGATTATTCTTCCTCAGCTAAAGACTTCTGCCATCTCGATCCTACCACTTTCCACTCTTCAACTTCACATCATCTTTCTATCTATTGCTGTCAGACTCAGTTGGAATCCAGGGGCAGGGGGGAACTGAACACTTACAAACTTTATTTTGATTGACTTAAACTTTATATTGAAGATTACACACTATTCTACAGATGTAGAAGCAGAGTGATATAAATATTGACTCTCAGGAGAGATTAAATCTGTTGTACCTTCCATTTTATGAGATTTTTTTCTATATTCTGGAGTGATGAATGCATTCTTCCCTATAAACACAAATAACTGAAGAATAAAAATTAAAATTCTTATTATTACCATCACTCATAATTACTATGCACTTATGCACACGCCATGTTTGAGGCATCTATTTGGACTACTAAACATGACAACAGAAGTAAGTGATTGAGGTAGTATATAGAAAACAGTTTTAAAATGGTTTTTATATTATGAAAAGGGTATTATTATATTTGCTATACCACCCTAAATAATAATCCAGTCACGGATCACCCTCTGCTCTGCCAGCACTGACACATGAACATTCACATCTTCCTGCTGTTGGACATTCTCACCTAACAAGCACCTTAAGTGTCTCGTTTTAGCCCACACTCTACGAAAGACATACCCATGACAGAATTGTGCAGATAAACTGAGGCTCAGCAAGCTTAAATAAGCTGTCTCAGAGGAAAAAAAATCAGCTCTAGATCCACAGCATGTATCCATTTGTATTAGTAGTTTTCAACCCATGGTAATAATGATATTTTCATACAGCCTAAAATGCACGCGTGATTTCACAATATAATACTTACTCTTATATGGAATGTGGTCTGATAATTTATGATCTTTTCTGTTAATCATAATTTCCATATTTCAAAACCACATGCCATGATCCTCATGAAATCTTCTATGTTGTAATCTGCCTGTCTCACCCAGCAGGGATCTGGCTCTGCCTTCAGGATCTCTTAAATCTGAGACAATGCTTCCCTACCTACCTACGGTCCTGCCATTGAGATCACCTCCGGATGACTTTGAGAACTAGCTTAAATTCAGATTGCCAGGATCTAACCATGGAAGCCTCTGAAAACGGGGTGTTCCTTCAGTAATCTCAGAAACTACACAGGCAGCTCAAGTGCTGAGAGAACTACTCCGACAGAATACAGCGATGCCGTTGAGAAGTATGCTAAAGGAAGCTTAAAGGGATTCAAGCCAGGAAGGCACTGTCTGGTTAATCAACTTGCATTAAGTTTCCCATTAACTCGTAGTCTCAATTTTTTACAGGCCAAAAAAGATTGTATTTTAGGTCAAGGACAGATAGAGCTTATCAATGTTTTGTAGATTTTCGACCTTGGCACTGTTTCCAGACATGCCTCATAACTTCCAGCCGTCCTTACATTATGACTGGCTTGCTTTTCTAGTCCCCTTTTTGAGGAAAAAGAGGCCAGTGAAAAGCCCAGCACTAAAACCAGCAACAGACTTGGCCCTGACAAGGGCCCATTTCTGGTGAATGTCGGGTCTTTGTGTTTTTCTCTGACTTTAGCCTCTCTCCCTTCTGCCGCTCCTATCCCACCCTGCTGTCCTCAGAAGAAAAAAAAAGATTAGTTAACCTTGTTTAAATGAGTTCTTTTTTTTTTTTTCTTTTTCTGTTTCCTTCCCTATTCTAGCCATTAGCCTCACAGATCTTCACAGGCCTCCTTATCCACCACCCCTTGTTTCCCGGAGGCATTCTGCCCTCCAGTCAGACAGGGGCTAAACCAGATGCGCAAACCGGAGTCCTTCCTACGAGACAGGCAGGAGCAAGCCCCGCTGTACAGGGAACCACCCAGAGCCAAGTCACAACTCCCGGTGTCACAGATGACGACGACTATGAAACCAGCACCCCTGCAGGCATGAGAAGGGGCACACACACCACGGAGGGAACCACTCTAGACCCACCGAATAGTAAGTTGTCCCAGCTTACACCATGCTCGTCACCAGGAAGGTCATCTGCAGAGTGGCAGAGAGGAGTTCTTTGCCTTTGCACTGACAAAAACAGACCTCAGTAGAGGCAAGGAGCCTTCTTTTCTTCACGGACATCATGACACAGGAAGGAATAGTTTACTAGGCTACCAATGCAACGGTATCAACCCTAGAAGAAGACAGTCAATTGCTAACTTCCACAACACATAAATCTTATACACACACACACACACACACACACACACACACACACACACATGCATGCACATGGGGTCTGTAACCAACTTGGAATGAGCCCTAGAATTTCTTAACCATAATATTGCAAGGAGCCACTGGTTATGGTCTAAAATTAACATAGTGGGTACACACTCATTCCCTCCATCGTGTGTAAGCACAGTATGCTTTTACCTGCATCTAAAATCACTTTGTTTCTTCTAGGAACTCAGTAAGATGCTTCAGATCTCCTTGGCTAAAGCACATCACATTTGGAGGTTATATGTGAATCATCTTCATTAGTCGCATGACAGAAAAGACTGAGACACAGTGAAAGGTCTTAGGAGGTAGAAATTCTTAGTTTATCTGAGACTTTGCTTGAAATTTCAGAAGATATATTCAATGAAGAGAATGCCAAGTTCAAAAAAAAATCATTAAATAGATCAATTTGTCTTTGAAATACTTTGTGTGCTACTTCAAATCTGAAAGATGTGTATATTAAAATATATTTTGAAAACTGACTTTTTTCTCATTTGGGGATGGAAGAAAGTTGGATGCCTTCAGAAACTGCAATACCTCAGCACGTCTTCATGACTTTAAGCCTAAGTCTTCCTTTAGACATGGGAAGTGTTTCCACCAAGGGAGAAGACAGTCTGTGATGTGGGGATAAACTCTGGCCTATCCACAACCACCTTACAACATGCTTCCAGAAGAAAGAAATTTAATTTTCAATCAGCAAACTGTTTATGATAATTTCCTGCAAACAACAGAAACAAACTGGGGCCGGCACATGAGCCGCTAAGAGTCAAAGCTGTAGGATGGCGGCATTGGCGTTTAACACGGAATGGCTGAGAGCAGGGAACAGCACTGATACAAAAGCAATCACCCGATCAGACCAGTGGGAGACTCTTGTCCTAGCCACCTATGACAGAATTTAATCTAGTTAAATGTATAACTCCGACAATTGCATTCATCCGGGTTGGAATTAAGCTCCCCCCTCCCATGTTGTGGGATATTTTGATCACACTCCGACATTTCCAAGACTGTCAATAAACTTTACTTTGAATCAGAGGGTGGAGCTAGCTACTAGCTGACCAGAGTTAGCCACAGCGGTTCTCGAGGACCCAGGACATAGAGACACAGGAAGTAATAGGGAGGGATTTAGAAAGATTTTTGGTTTTTTGGATTGAGGAAGGAGAGAGAGAGAGGAGGTCACTGGTTGTTTCTCCAATGCTTCTCTAATCAATCAGGTTTTTATCCCAATATCTGACTCCTGAGTTTTATTTAATAGTCAAACAATATAAAGTGAAGTAACTGCTTCACCCCTACCCTCCATGGATCAAGCTAATAGCTTTTCTGAGGATGTATATCTGGTCCCATCAGTATACAACAGACCTAAATAAGCATCATGAAATTTATTCCATCCCAAGTCCTTCAGTGATTAAAGATTTCTCATCAGCATTTCATATCTACAGAATCTCAAACATGTATATGAATTATTTTTTATAGTCTAACCTTCTTAAAAAATCAGCAAGAAGAATGCTTTTAGTCTTGAAATCTCCTCATGTTTGACATATCAAAAGATGTTATGATTCTTTCATCTGCTTCTGCACTGAATGTTGGAAATTTCTCACAGTGTAAGATTCAGACAGGTAGAATTAAAAAGTAAAATAACACTTGAATGTTATTACAAAAATAGATTTACTTTGCCAATACATCCAAAGGATCACAGAGACCTTCCAGTGATCCTCAGATCAAATATGGAGAACAACTTTGAGCAGTGCCACATCTGTTTACCTTTATCCTTCCTCTTCAGGTTACATATTTTTATCTTCACATATAGAAATTCCCACTGTTTGTTTTACTAAAACACAGTAATTCTGATAAAAATCAATTTCATTCAATCTCCACCCCAAAATTAAAAATTGTAATAAACTTAATTATAAATGCTGCATGTCAAATATACTGCTGAGTGGAATGACTTTCCCTGATAAATGAGGAATCAGTGAAAATTGAAACCTGCGTCACCAATTTTACCATCTGAAGTAAAAACTAGTCTCTGGTTTCAAATGTTTAGGCATTCATTTCCCTTCTGTTAATGACATAAATGCCTACTTTTGCCAAGCACCATCAAACCCAGTCACACAGAGACACCAACTTTGGCCTTTCACTTGGAAGGTCTCAGTACTTGATGCGCAAAAATACCGAGTAACAACTGAAGCATCCTAGAAGCCATTTCTGAATGTAACAACCAGAAATAACTATTCACAAACCACAGAAATATACTCCACTAAGCCTAAACTATATGTATCCCCAATTTAATTTTCCTTAGGCACATCCAAAAAATACCTATGACCACACCAATGCCATCTGATGCAAGTCATAGTAAGACAAAGAAAACTCTAAGTGGACAGAAGTCATAACTAGCTGTGGTTAAACTATCTTAACTCTATCCTGGTAGCACAGCCTGAATTCCCAGGTAATAAGGAGGCTGAAGCAGGTGGATCACAAGCTCAAGTGCTGCCACAGCTATAGAGAGTTCAAGGCCAGCCTGGTCAACTTAGTTAAACCTTCTCACAATAAAAATATGAAAAGGACAAGGGGGCTAGAAGCAATAGCACAGAGTTTCAAGTGTTTGTCATCACATACGGTGCCGGATTTCAGATTCCCAGAGTCCAGTATCAAATGCTGGTGGGCCTGGTGGCCTCCTGGAATTCCAGCCTCAGAAGGTAGAAACAGGGTTCCCTAGAGCAAGATGGATACCAAGACAAGCCCCAAGGGAAAGCTCTGGGTTTAACTAAGAGACCCTGCCCTACTGGATAAGATGAAAAATCAATCAACAATGATTCCCAACAACATCAAGTTTCCACAAGTATATACACATCCACCTACACACGTAAAAAAAATGCATAAACACACACAAAAAAACTGAAAAAGTGGGGAAATGTGCTGGGTATTTAATTCAATGGTAGAGTGTGCTTGCCTAGCACATGTGAGGTCCAGGTTCAATCCTCAGTTATGAATAAAACATAGATGTGTTACTTTTGCAAAAACTACAAAACACAAGCACTTGTGAGTCCATGGCTAGCTAACATCATCTTAAAGCCTTGGAAGGGGCTGAATTAGTGAAGGATCCTAACTGACGAAGTATTAAACAAAGGGAAATAGCATATGCTGAGGGTGTGAGAAATATAAAGTGTTCTTAGAACTCTGAGTCCTAATTTACTTCCAATCCTAAAATAGCCAATAAAGCTTGAACAAGGTAATAGATACAAAAGTCCAGAGGAGTGCTGTTAATAAAATGCAATGCCAGCCTCCTACATAATTTTAATTTTTTTAGTAGCCACATGAAAAATACAAAAATAAGTAGATGAAATTCATTTCACTAATAATCTTTTTATTAAGATAACCAAAATACAATTTGATAAAAATTCAACAAAGTTTTTGATGGCTCGTTTGCCTCTTTTTTATGCTACTAAATCTTTGAAATCTAATATATACTTCCACTGAAGCCACATTTCAAGTTCTTAATGCAACATGCCGATGGGGAGTGCTATATTGGAGAGCATAGATCAAAATTTAAGAAAAGAATAACCACAGGTTAAAATTAAACATCAACACACTCATGAAAACCACAAAACTTTAATAGAAGAAATTTTTAAAAATCATAAATCATGAGATATTTCATGTATGTGTGTAGAACTCACCATGTCAAGATGTCAGTTTTCCCAATTTGATCTACAGATTCAATACCATCTTATCTAGAAACCCAGTAAAATATTCTTTACATCAACCTAAAAATTAATATATGTAATATATAACCCAAGGTGTGAACCCTAATATAAAATGTGCAATCCAGCTGATAGTAATGTGTCAAAATTGGATCATCAATTGCAACAAATGAACCACACTAATACAAGAAGATGATGATAGGATTAGTAAGAAGAGAAAAAAAGAGGAACTGAAAAAATCTCTACACTTTCTCCTCCATTTTCCTGTAAACCCACAACTGTTGAAAATATTTTAATTTTTTTTTTGAAGTACATCCAAAACACACCAATGGTTAGTATTTTAAAATATTTGCCTCACATTTGCAAATTGCTGTGATTTGCTAGTAATCTCCTCCCCCTAGTGGTTCGGAGGCAGTAAAACTACAAGTGTTTCACAAAGTAGAACTAAGAAAAAGTAATCCTAATCCTGAGACCAAGCAACACTGGCCACAAATTAGGTCTCAAATCTGACAGTCACCCATATAACAAGTGGAGACGGATGTAATGATGATGGAAGATGATGAAGGGTGACATGTGAGAGAAGTCAGTGCCCCAGCAAAATCAGAGAGTATCTGATACATGTCACACAAGAAAAACACCTAGAAAGAAGGAAAACAAATTATGTAACTGGTCCAGCTGAGGATGCCTTGGGTCTGAAGAACCTCATCAGCCAGGGAAGAGAAGTCCCATCAGAAGATCCATCAAAATGCAGGTTTTTCTCTCAAGGAAACACTGGCAGATTTGACCAGTAAGATGAACCTAAGACACCGGGAGCCACATTCAGAAGACTGTGTTTACCCATTACTCCTGTCTATTTTTCTCATCAATTTATTAGTATTTTTACTCCTAAAATTTTTATGTTGCTCCTGTTGCAATGTGCTATGCCAAATGTACAGCTCATAGTTTTCAACCATGTTTTTTAAGGCTTGCTTTCAATTCCTTGAATGCAATCCCAGTTGCTTAAAGCAAACTATAATTTTACTTATCTTTATTTCATGCAGACTTTTTTATATGGATCAGTTTTTCTTCTCATTTTTCTTCATAGAATTTTGCTTCCTATTGATAGAGTGGGGACAGGGTGCTCATGGAGATTGCTGGTCCCAATAGCTGATTGTCCTCTGAAACTCAGCCGCTATTGTCCCATCTGGGACTTGGTGGCTAATTCGGATCAAGAACCTCCCCACATGGTGCTTGACTCCACCCGATGACAAATAAGAAGTGACTATTTCATAAAAAAAAAAAAAAGACTAATCACAAATTAAGCATTAATATTCCCCTCCTGTCCTAAAGGAAACAAATAAGAATTGAAGGGGCTGGTGAGAGAACTCAGCAGGTAGAGGCACCTGCTCCTAGTCTTGATGGCATGAGTTCAGTCCCTGGGTCACACATGGTGGAAGGAAAAACAGACTCAAGCTAAACGTTCTATGATTTCCACACATGTGCCATAGCATGTGTGGGCCCACATATGTACACACACATACACACAATAAAAATGTCATAAAAAATAGTTTCACATGGAAAAACTTGTTAAATGTGGTGTGCATGTGTGTACACACATGTGCATACACAGTAGATTCCAAAATGTCCTAGTCACTCTTCCTTCTTTAGGTTTACATGTGGACTGTCCCCCCTTATATATGCTCTCCAGCTAGTGGTGTTATTTTGGGAGGCTTGTGGAACCTTCTAGCCATGAGACCCGTAGAGGATGCCGGGCCTGTAGGCTGGCCCTGAGAATTCTGGGC